GTGAAAGGGGACACGACTTCTAGGACAGCAAACATTTGTCCTTTCGTAGTGAGTGACCAAGGAAAAGTTAATTTTAAGGAGGTTTCTGGCAATTTGGAAAGAGTGGAGGGAATTGCTGCAGTTGTCCACTGATTGATCAGATTTTAGGTTAGGAATTGTCATTGTGAACAAGATCTAGACAGTGCCTAGCCTGGGGGCTTCAAAGGATGCAGCAACTAACCATGGGTTAATCCTCTTCCATATCATGCCTCATCTTGACCTCAAACAGGTATCAGTGTACTCCTTGGGACCTGACATTTAATAAGTCTTTTGGAGTCTTGTTACCATGAGCTGCAGCAGCTCTGGAAAGCCTTGGCATATAAGGCTTTGTTGCAGAAATATTAGAAGCATCTTCTACAATAATTTGCTTAGGGTCAGTAGGGGTTGGATAGTTCAGTGCAGAAGCTTCTGATTATAAACCATGGATCTTCAAAGAGATTTTGAACAGGTTTTTTGTCTGGCAGCTGCATTTACTGTGCATTGGCTGGTACATTAGGAAACTTCAAGTCTGACATGAAAAGACATTGACAATTATTACTGTCTTACAGCACACTGATTACAGCAAGAAAGTTGACTGGATGTCACTCTGTGAAGGTCTATATTTACACTTTTTCATAGTTTTTATCAGTTTGCAGGAGCCAACAAGTTTTCCAGCTCTGAGATTACAAAACCTTGAATTTGCTCCTTTGATTTCTCTGCTAAATATGAATTTGTGGCATAAGTGATCATACAGAGCTCTTGAGTGCATCATGGTGGTGTTATTTGGCCGGGGAAAGATGTAATGAGAGAAAATGAGACAGAGGTCGTTAACTCCACTTGGCAGAGGTCTGATTTGGGTGTAAGTGATAGGGAAACACACGAAAGATTAATTTGTAAGACCTGATCTGCAGGGTCAAGGTTATTTTATGAACTCTAAAGAGGAAAGTGTGTGTTTGTAGGAAATAGTTTTGCAGAACCAGTGTCTGATCCTACAGGTTTGGAAAACATGGGACCATGTGGAAGTTAAGAACTGAGCCTGGGTTTCATACTGAGTGCCTTTGCTATAGACTTGGAACTCATCCCTGATTTCTTCCCCCAAGGTTTAATGAAAACCCAAGTAATATTCTCTCCTGGTGGCCCTTCAGCTGGAAGCCTGATGGTGCAGAGACTGTACAGCACCTTGTGCAATGCAGCTCCCCCCTTCCTTCCAGTCCCCTTCTGCTATTGTAATACACCAACTACAGTCTGAATATTCATCATTAGCTTCCAATAGACTTTAAATAGACCAACGACAGTTTCCTTCCTTGTAAATTCTTTCCCCCAACCAATTTCTTCTAATTTTACAGTTCTTAATGCAAAAAAGGAAAGCCCATTAACACCCCCATGTAAAACTGACATTCTGGACAATTTCCTGTATTGCCTGTGTAAATCCAGCTTTAGCCTTTTTTTTCTTTCCCGCCTTCCTACTTAGCTACAGTTTTTTGGGATAGCAAAATTTCTGGACACAACAGTCATTTTTGTGCTGCTGGTTGACAAAACCTTTCATTCCATTAAACTGTGGCTGAGGATTACGACCAGCTATTTTGGGAATAGTGACTTTTAGGTGCTGCAAAAAAAAAAAAAAGAAAAAAACCCACCCCAAAACATTTTAAAAGACAGAAGGACAAACTCAAATGGTTTGTTCAGTCCATAAAGAGTGGGATCAGGAAACAGTATAAAAATTTCAGGATGACATAAGGGGGCCTATAAGGATGCTGGGGAGAGGCTCTGCATTAGGGACTGTAGTGATAGGACAAGGGGTAATGGGTTAAAACTTAAACAGGGGAAGTTTAGATTGGATATAAGGAGGAAATTCTTTCCTGTTAAGGTAGTGAGGCACTGGAATGGGTTGCCCAGGGAGGTTGTGAATGCTCCATCCCTGGTGGTGCTCAAGGCCAGGTTGGACAGAGCCTTGGGTGCCATGGTTTAGTGTGAGGTGTCCCTGCCCATGGCAGGGGGGTTGGAACTGGATGATCTTAAGGTCCTTTCCAACCCTAACTGTTCTATGATTTTATGACATTGCTTTACAAGGTACCAAAGTTATGTCTTTATTAGAGCTCCTATAAGGAAGGAGCAGGTAGGAATACAGAGATAACTGCCTTTGTATACAGCAAAATAGCAAGCTGAAAGAAAGAGAATATTTGAGCTATTTGGTTAGAAAATACTTTCCTTCCTCTCCCTCCTCAAATAGTAGATTTTTTTGGCAAAAATAGCACCCAACATGTTTTGACTGGAATGGAAATATTTCAGTCTGGAGAGAAGTCATTGCGATACCTCCTGGGAACTGCTGTTTGGAAACTTGGTGTCTCCAACCTGTTCCCTCTCCAATGTGACTCCCTGCTCCCACTGTGGCTCCTGCAGAGCACCACAGTTCTCTAATGCTTATGGAGGCTTTTGTGTTCCCTGGGAAAAGCAGTCTGAAAGGAATTTGGTCCCCAGTGCACAATGGGAGTGTGGGATCCTGACATCACCTATCCTGGCACTCAGGGTGAAAATATTGCTGTTTCAGGCTTACAGCTCCTTTATGGAAAGAAAACTTTTATTATTGAGAAAAAAACCTCAGGTTGTTATTTTTTTCACCCATCTCAGCTCAGAGGAAGAGTTGATTTAGGTGAGGAGTATTTAGGATGATGATGGTTTCTTAGGGTTCATGTGGTGCTTCACACAGCGAGTGTCTGATACCTATGTGGTCCCTGTGATCTACTGTGAGAATTTACTGTAAGAAACCCCTATGCACATCTAATCCCACATCCCAAAGAGACATCCAATTCTTCCCCAACTGAAGCAGGGAGAAACTGTGAAAACAATCATTTCTACATCCTCCAGAAAAGCCATTGAGAACATGGTGTGGCATCATGTCACGGTATGTTCTTCCTTCTCTTCCACCATAGCTCAGAGGTAGCCACTGAAAATAATAGTGAGGCTCTGTTGTTTCTTGGGGCAATTGGTGTTGGTGGTGTTGGAGATGAGGAAGAAGGAACCAGTCAATCCATGCAGCAGCATGGGAGGAGAGATAAGGACAAGGTCCATGTATCATCTCCTTGTGGATTGTCCCCTTGGAAGGGAAACATGGTGGGGATGCAGCTTTGGGGTGTTGTGCTGGTATTATTTCCATGTGTATTGCTGTGTGAAACAGCAGGCAGCTCAAGAACATGACATGGTAGGTCTGGAAAATCCCCTAGAACCTAGAAGGTTTGAAGGCCATAGGAGTTTTGAAGGCCACAGCTATTGACCTTCATGAAAAGCCACTAAAAATGCCCTCCATCAGCAAGAGCTCCTAGGGTGGAAATGCTGGTGTGGGGTGTCCACACGCAAAGAGGTCCTTTGAAGCCCACCACATACCCTGGCACCCATCGCTGTCTTGTGTATCTGAGGGCTAAATCTGCTTCCTCTCAGTTCATCTCTCTCTTGTTCTCGTGCACAGTCTAGACTTGAGGAGAAAAAGATTCCTCTTCAGCCCATCCAAGTGGGTGGAAAGCCATGCTCCTGTGGGGAGGAGCTGCTGTGCTTCCAGGGGAAGAAACCCCACCTTTGGAATGGGTTCTCTTTGGCAAGCCAGCAGTGCCTGGGGTTTGGGAAGCTTTTGTGGCACAAGGAGAGAGGCATTTATTGGGGTTTGAGCTCCTGGGTGAGCTTCCCCTCCATTACAACCCAGTTGCAATGTTTCTGGCAGCCACCACAGCAGTGGTTTGGATGGAAGCCCCCTGCTGTTGAGTAGGTTTATGTAAATGCTATTGTTAAACCTTGTAACTAAGCTCTGAGTTCCTACAGTGCTAGGTCCTCTCTAAAGGGTTTAACTGGAGATTCAGGGCTCCTCCTTCACATGGAAGGTGAGGTTGTTGGTGGGATTTAAGGATCTGCCCTTGCTTCAGCAGAATGATTTTGGGCAGATGACTAAGGTACTTCAAAGCCAGCTTGGTTCAATTGTTATAGCCTTGAAGAAGAAAGCTTGCATTGGAATCTTGGTTCTGGGTCATGGGTGCTCTAGGCCTGGTGGTACTTTGTGAGGTGCTGTTGTACTACCTGGTCTTTAGGCATTTTAGCAAGTGCTTGGGTTTAGGGAGCTCCCAACAGTCTTGGAGGCAGCTCAGAGGGAGGCTTGCACCTTGGTTGAAGGGTCTGAGACCTTTTCAAGCTTCACTTCTGTCTCCTGCAGAGCAGGAATAATCTTGTCTGGCCACATTTCTGATGTGCTTGGAGAAATGTCTCCAAAACACACTATAGGGTTTTGCAGGAGAGGGGATTTCCAGCCAGTGTTGGCAAAGCATCCCTACTTCAAACCAGATTTCAGAGCAAGGGAATGAACCAGACTTTCCATTAGTGCTCCCCCTCTTAGCCTGGTTCGGCTGAGGTGTGTGGCTTTGGTGTGCAGCAGGACTTGGTGATTTATTCCTTTCTCTTTCCTAAGTGCTCTGAGGTGGAGCTTGTTCTCTGGTCCAGGGATCCCCCATCCAGGACAACCAGCCTGGCAGACCCTGGGGAAATAAATGGGGACAAATACCATAAGGGGGAAGAAGTAGACTTAAATATTTAATCCATCTCCAAGACAGCTTGGCAGAAATGTGGTTTTTATGTGCACGCTTGCACATCCACATATACAATACCAATAGTATGTATTTTATAAATGCTACTAGAATATGTAAATATAAATCTTGTGTATTTTGCTGTAACTGCATGTATCTGTTGTATGTAGGGATGTAAAAGAGCAATTGTGGTGGAAGAGCCACAAATCTAAAGGGAAAGATACTAAAAGGAAAGTGAGAAGAGTGCCACATGGATGAAGTGTGACTGGGCTGCAGTCTCCTGGGAGGGATGTCTCTGCCTGGAAGTCTAAACAAACATCATGATGCTAATGTGCTGCCTTTATTTATTAATCCATTTATTTATGATCTATTTACTAATTGACTTTCTGATATTTTTTTTGTTTGTTTCTTTGTTTTTAGTAAAGAGTACCCGGTTGTTCCCAGGAGCACAGTGAGACAAAAAGTGTCCTCGAATCACAGCCCCTTCAGTGGTGAGACCAGGGTCCTTTCTGCCTCCTCCAATCTGGGCTCCCAGTACCAGTGTGAGAATGGGGTGTCGAGCACCTCCCAGGACCTGCTCCCGCCTGCCAACCCCTACCCGATCTCCCAGGAGCACAGCCAGATCTACCACTGCACCAAGAGAAAAGGTCAGACCTTGGCTGCTCCCCAGTCAGTGCTTTCCTCTTCCTAACATTACTCTCAGCGTTGTTTTCTCGTTTCCTCTTGCCCGCAGGCTGGACAGCCCCAGCCTTCCTTATGGTGACACATGAAGATAAGCAAGGGATGAGGGCTGTGCAGGTCCCCCAGGCTGGGCTGGGAAACTCCTCTCACCATAGCCTAAAGCCCCATCTTGCTGCTGGGCTGGGAGAGAGCTGTTTGAAGGGGTGGCAGTGCCTTTCCCCCACGTTGAATCCACATTCAGTGAGATAGCTGGTGCCGGAGATAAAGATGACTTATCTGCCTCCATAGCCCCTCAGACAGGGTTAATCTCCAAGTGGAGATACCTTGACAGCTTGGCTTTTGCACAGTTTTCAACTGAGTCTCACAGTTGGGAGACAGTTGTCTGTAGAAAGCAATTCCACTTAAATGCTCGGTCTAATGAACGGTGCATGGGATTGACAATCATGATATCCATGTTCGTTCCCCTCTGGTGCGACTGACCTGTTTTGACAGAGCTTGAGGGATTAAACTGTAAGGGCTTTACACTGACTGCTCAGCTCGTCCTGGCGTGAAGAACCCCATGCTATCCATGGGATAATTGTTCTAATGTAGGAGAGAGGACTTTGTGGTCTTTCCTAATGTAATGCAAATGCTTAGATGCAAACACACTTGCAGGACTGAGATAGTAAAAGCCTTAGATCAGCTCTACCCCAACCACTCAGAAGAATATAGGGAGTTTCCAAGGTTGAATTCAACCCCATGGGGTGGGCAGGAGATGGCTACAGTCTATCCTAGTTCCCCTTTATTAGGATTTAGTCTACATGGCACAGGAAAACCTAGCAGGAATCAACATGCACTGTGGCATTTGAATGCACCAAGAATTTCTCCAGCCCGGTAGCCTGTCCCCACAGCAGGTCCCTTCCTGCTTCCCTGCACGGTCCTATCAGTCAGCCACATGTCATTATTTTTAGTAACATAACCCCTGGGGCACTGGGATGTGCAGTGTAGACACACAGGCTAAGGTAGTGGATGCTGGGAAGCGCTGGCAGATGAGGCAGGAGAGCAGTGGAAATCTCTCTCCCATCCTTGGTGAATCCCCTGGAAGTTGTGACGTGTGTGTTGTGTACAAATATAAATGCAAAAATGTTGGGAAATCTTCATATTTTCCTGAGATTGAGCTAAGCAGTGATGAATGGAGACCTTGTTATCTGACCCCTCCAGCTGATCAGGTGACCCATGTGCTCCTATGGAGTATAGCAAAGCTGTGGTTGGAAATGGTGATGCTAGACATCACCGTTTTGTTTGGTGGGGAAAAAGATTTTCGGTGGCTTCCCAGTGTCCCCTAACGTCAGAGATGGGGTATGTAGCCCTTGCTGAGGTGCTCTGACACAACTAGGTTGCTGCAATGGCCCATTGTTGGTGATGAAAAGGCAGATCCCATTCACCCTTGGTGTCCCTCAGCCTGTGATCCATCCTTGGTGCTCCTTTGCCCTGGGATCTGAGTCTTCCCCCTCTCCTCTTCCCCTCTGCAAAACCTAACCAAAACAAGCTGGCCCAAATGACAACAAACCCTTTGGACAATCTCTGACTGCTGCATGTCCCTGCACTGCAGAGCAATTCATCATTCCCCTCCACATTGTAACGTGATAAGGAATCAACAGAGGTTTCCTTCCAGTTTTGGGATTCCCGCTAAGTGGTGTCTCCATGGGTGGTTTCCCTCAATCCCCCAATTATCTCACTTCCTCTTATTGTCACAAAAGAGACGACTATCTGCTCTGTAAGAAGCTCCCCGGCCCCTTTTGGCCTGCGTGGCCCTTGCGAAAGTGCAGGAGAACTGGCAAAGGGATTCCTTGTCTGTATGGCCGATGGCCCCTCATTATCTCCCCGATGGCTTGAGTGGCACAAGCAGTTAAGGGCCTTTTATCAAAGCCGCCAAATGCTTTAATCAAAGAGAAGCAGTGTCCTGTCCGATACCACCGACTTCTTCCGTGAAGCTGGATGTCTCAGGAGCCTGAGTCTGCTTTCCTCCCTGTGCCTTTTTCCCCCCTTCCCATGCATCCAGCAAATCGAAAACAGCCACCCGGGCTTAAAGAAAAGAAACACAAAGTTAATGGGAAACAGAGAGCCAACATAAGCTGCCAAGCAGCTCTTTGCAAAGTGAAATTAATTAAAAAAGGAGGAAAAAAGAGAAGTCACTAGAGATGAGAAGTTCTGTGCAGATAAATCAGAACGTGATCCAACATATCCTCCCAAACTCAGACTGAGTGTGGCACTTCCTTCTAGCATTGAGCAAGGGTCTTTATTGAACTTGGGGAAAATAACCTTGACTATAATATTCCTCTTTTTCTTCCTTTTCCAGCCTCTCCTTCCTAAGTGTAGTATCAAGTTTTCCTTTAGAGTTCTCATGCTTTCCTACTTTTCTGCATAACTTTCACCAAGCATCACCATCTAAGAAAACATGAAAGCAGGAGTGTGTTCACTTCTAATGCACCTCTGTCTGTTTTCCCGACTGGAAGCTTTATTGATTGCATTGGATCATCAAGACCCCAAACACTGGCTCCTCTTCAGTCAGTTTAGGATTTATCTCAAATGGCTTATTTCCTTTATGCAAGGGTGTAGGGGTGGAGAAGTGCTTCCAGGGGCAGAGGGCAATTCAGCTGGATTTGAGACCAGCTGGTGTCTGTATCTGCTGTAGCAAATACCATTTCCAAGATAGTGTCTCAGATACGGCTCCTTCCAGCTTTGACATCTCATGATGTTTCTCTGTATCCTTTTCAATCAGCAGGTCAAGTCTTGGTTTTGGCTTAGTTAAGAATAGGTCTCTATTCAAGTAACTTGAAGGCACCTTTTTCAACTTCTACTTCCTTGGTGACCTAAGACGAAGCTTGAGCTCTGTGGTTGACAGTGTTGTTCTTAGCTGTCAAGTGAAGATGGATTCACTCTGGAGATCTGATATGGAGTTACATTAGGGGAGAGCAGCGGGGCTGCGAGGGGACGTTATCTCTGAAGGCTCCTCTGTTTCAGGGAGGTGATGCTCTTTTGGGTTAGGAAGGAAGGAAGGACACATCCCAGAGCTCTGAATCTGGCAATTCCTGCTGCCCAGGTGGGAGTATGGGGTTGCAACATTGGGAATAACACCAGCATGGTGGAAGCTCCAGGGACCTTCTGAACATCCTGGGGAATGGAGGTCCTCAAGGCAAGAATCATCCTGCATTGTATCCCAGCTCCACGCTGAGATTTCTCATGACATTTCACAAGGTTGCTGGTCTTGAGAGGATGGATCAGCTCCAACCCTGGATCCTACCAAGGAGTGGTCTCAGTTCTTGATGTGGATTTTTAGGCTGCATCAAAGACCAGTTAGAGGTTTGCATTTTTTCTAGTTGTTCTCCACCTCTCCCTCTCTCATTGTTGTGCTTGCTGAAGCCCAAAAAGACTTACCAGCAGGCAGCTTGCTTTTCTGTCTTTCATTTTAGCCCCATGTCCCAGTTAAGGCATTGGGGCTTGTTTTCCCTTGTGTTATCCGCTCCCTCAGATTTCCTGTGAACTAAAAAGCCATCCCTTTAAACCTCTGCTCCCTCCCAGCCTTACACAATCTCAACCACTTGGCAGACTTCTGGGATGCTTGTGATGCTGAGCAGGAGGCAACTGGATCAGCCTCTCCCTGGGGAGGTTATAAAAGTTGTCATGTTGGCACTCTTCTTGAGGGAGAAGAGGGATGTGGCAGAACCCACCGGCTCCAACCAGTGAGGACCGTATCCTTCAGCCACCTAGCTTGGACATGACCATGGGGAAGAACGTATCTTTTATCTCATTCCTGCTCTGATGAGGTTGGTGGAGATACAGCAATGCCTTTCCCCGTTCTCCTCAACAGCAGGCATTGTCAGGGTGGATAGACCTCTTTGTTGACTGAACTCATTTCTTCCTCATCTCACCCAGTTTTGGCTTCACTCAAAGAATCTGTAGGACGAAAGTCAGGTATGGGATCTCTTTTTGGAGGACATGCTGCTTGTCCTGCTGATGTTAGGAGATGCAACGAGTTGGCCAAGGCTTGAACTATGCTATAGCTGGAGGTGTTTTCTGCTTGGGTAGATGCAATGGAACCCAGGTAGCTGCTGGAACACCAAGGGTGAAGAAGAGCCTGCCTGCATGGTGGGGAAATACCTGGGGACTGGTGTGCACTCAGCTCTTGCTGTGCAGCCATGTTGCTTGTGGCACTCTAGTTTCAATGGCTTCATTTCACTGGCTTCATCCCATTCTCCCATCAGGAGGTGCCTCCTGTGCCTCTGCAGGCAGTGCTGGCAACTTACTGCCTCCCTGGAAGAGGTTCCAGCTTTTGGTATTGGATTGTCTCTACCCCACAACCCATTCTGTTGTGTTTCCCTGCAATGTAATGCAGACATAACACAAACTGTGTGACTGCTGAAATAACCAGGGTGTCTTAGGTTTCATATCCTATGATGTAAGTCTCATTTGCCCTCTAGGGATATTAATTTGGGTTGAATCTGTGTTTTCCATGTCTTCTTTGACAGCCCTCGTCGGTCTTGCATGCTGGTATTGGCTATTCAGGCTCATGTTAGATTCATACTAGAAACCAGACAAGATAAACCAACAGTGTTAGTGATAATCACCCATTGTCTCTCCCTCACAAAGTCAGGATGAACCTACTGTCATGTGCTGGAAGTGTGGGTGAACTTTAAAACCCAAACCAATTTGGTCCCATTCTTCATTGTCTTCTGTCCCGGGGAGCTGATTGTCATGAACTGGAAAGGGAGCTCTTTTGATTTACACCAGGGGAAGAGGTGGGCCCAGTGCACCCCGTAGTCCCAAGATTTTACATGTTTGCATTTCTTTTTGGATGGAATTGGGAAAATTCCATTTAAAAAGCCATTTGTGTGGTATTTACAACCCAGCTGGAAGTAGTAAATACCGGAAATCTTGGAACTGCTTATCCTCTCGCTCAAGCTCCTTCATTAGATAGATCATCAAATTCCTTGTGAGAGCGCCAGTTTCCACCCCATTATGCAGGCTCCGTTTTCCTTGGATCCACTTCGGAGCAGCTTCTCCCAAGTGCTGGCAGCTCCTTCTGCTTGGCAGAACTTTTTGCTTTTTGAGGCTTGCGCAGTATTGAGGGACTGGTCACAAGAGCTGATTGCCACCCTTGGCTTCCAAGAACAGCAACAAAAGGAGAGGATGGTCAGCATCCCCCAGAAGTGCTCAGCACCTCTGAGGGCTCAGTGGCAACAGGAAAAGGATAATGAAGTGCTGTCAGTGAATCAACATCAGGAATCAAACCCAGAGCATATCTCCTATGTCCTGCTCACACTGATGCTGAGGAGGTGAGATGATCTTCAGGGAGAGAATTATGGCCTTGGCACAGACTGTCCAGGCTCCAGAGCAGGTGGGGATGAGTTAGCCTTCAGCATTGAGAGCTCTGTTTGACTTGTCCTCCTTTTGCCACTCTCTTCCTTGCATATGTCCCCTTCCCACTCCCAGATCTGTTCCATATACCATAGGGAGGCACTTTGCCTGCTGTGTGCTGACTCTGATCTCCTCTGCAAGGAGTGGTGGCACAATGTCAGATCAGACTTTGTATTTTCAGAGAACTTGGACGAGTGTAAATGCATCTGCTGGCACCAGCTGAGCATCTCTGGTCTGTATCATCCCATGTGATGATGGAGGTGGACTGTTCTTATCCAGCACTCTGAAGTTATGTAGATGGGAAATTCATCAGAAAAAGGGACAAGAGGGCAGGCAGAAGCTGTTAGGATAGACTGTAACCCTTCATTAGTGATTGTCACTTTGGAGATGGGTATGGTGTCCTTATACATCTTACAGCTTGAAGCTGATGATGCCCTTTCCTGATGCAACATCAGTGGAGTTGGCTCAAGAGAGGCCAGCAAAGCCATCACAACAACTTATGGAAGAAGAGAGAGCACCTACAGGGTTTCCACTGCAATTTGGGTTGTTTTTGTTTTTGTCCCTTCACCTGCAATGAATCCTGGAAGCGGATCCATAATGTTGTGGCTCTGCCTGGCTGGGCTGGGGCCGGCAGCGGAATGTCTGGGCTCAATGGAAAAATCAGCAACCTGAGGTTGTAAGTCAGGCGCAGTTTTACACAACCAAAAACCAGAGTTTGACCGCTTTGTGTTGTGTATTAAAAAAAAAAAAGAAATAAAATAAACAGTCAAACCCCAAGCCAATGATGTCTGATGCCAGCGGAGTAATGCGGTTTAATGCTGAAAACTTTATTAGCAGAACAATGCTTCATTTTACAAGACATTGTTTTTCCACCCTAGTGTTCTTATTACTCAGTGGTGGGACAGGGATCCAAAACTTTGAGGCTGTCTGTAAAAGCATGGGCTCAGGCTATTATTCCAGATGTACCTCCTGTGATGGATAGACCCGTGTTCGGGAGGGAGCTTAGACCTGTGCTTCCAGCTTTGGTCTTTCAGGGGATAACATCCTCTCCATCTCTCCTATATAAAATGACCCTGATGAAGGAGGGTGATACAACTCTGTATCTATTTGCTTGCTGTTCCAGCTGTTTTAAAGATATTACTGCATTGCTCACTTATCCCATCCTACTTTCTGCCCCGATTTAAGCAAAGGCAGAGGAGAGAGATAACTTGATTATCAGGGCTCTGTGTTGCTGGGACTAAGGAGCCAGGTTTTGCTGTTGTCAGGAAGAAAGCATGAAATGGGACTGTGCTTTTCCAGCTCAATTTATGTCTATTACAAAGTCAAAGGACACCAAGGAGAAAGTCCCTATGGTGTGTACCTTGGTACCTGATGTTTTCTGGCGTGGTTGGGTCAAGAAGACTAACAGCAGCAGTTGCTCCAGCTGGGCTTGGCAGACACCTGAGAGGGAATAATGGATTATTTTACAAGCAGAGTAGGTTCAGCTTCCAGGAGGAAGCATGGCTGTATCTAGCAATAAGTATGTTGACAAGAAGCAAGAGGTGTCCACGCTGCCCACCTGCATCTCCTAAAGGTGAGACATGGGCGCTCACCTTGGAGCAGCCCAGCACCCATGTACGTGTGGTTTTGCAAGTGTTTCTTAGGAGAAAGATGCTTTCAGTCTTTTTTGTGGAGCTGGTTTGGGATTTTTTTTCCTTCCCTTTGTATTTTCAGGGTGGAAAAAAATTACAGCTCAAAACGTGTTGGTTGAGAAAATGTGGAAAGGGTTGTTTCATGTGGTTGTCTTTCAGTTTCCCCCCCATTGAAAGGGTCCAGCCAGTAGGGCTCCAAGTGAAGTGGGATGGATGTGTTTCTGCCTACGCCAGAAATCTTGTCCTTGAAGCAGCAACAAAGTTAATCTGGATCGGAAGAAGCACCCCTCTGCCTCACTGTCCTTAAAATCTCTTGAAGTGCTTGTCCTTGGGAACTTTGCCATCCATTCCAGCAAAGCTGGATTTCATTTGATGACCCTGCGAGTGAATAAATAAGGGCATATTCACTTATTCATTTTGCTTAACCCGAGAGATTTCACCTAAATTGTTTATCTCCTTCCCTCTTTTGGCCCTGGATGCTGCAGGAAACAAAGGGCTCGGCAAGCTGTGCCTTGTTGTTTCTAGCTGTGAAATTTACTTTTCTTTGCTGTTACACTTGGCTCCCTGCATGGGATTTGTGTGCCCAGCTCTCCTTGGCACAGCTTAAGACTGGGGCTGTAAAACTCCAAATCTGATTGTCTCAACTGTGCCATCGCTGGTGCTCTCCCAGAGGGAATTTTTATGGTTATCTCCATTCCTGTCTCGTTTATTGTGAAAATAATAATTGAAAAGGCTTTTAGTTAGCAGCATCAGCTCTGAGCATCTCAGTTGGGAGTGGGGACCTCGGTTAGGTGCACTGTATCCACAGGCGGATGTTGTACCGCTGGTCAAAATGCTGCAGCAGAAGGGAGATGAAGAGCTCAGGGACGCGTATAGGGTATCATCAAGCAAGCTAAGCCTCAGGATCCCTCCAGTGTCTTCTTGCCTTGATTTTCCTCCCAGAGCTCCTAGTTAATCCCTTCCCCACTCCCTCAGTGCGAGACTTGATTTCAGTGGGATTGATTCAGGTGGATTCTGAAGAAGGGATCTGTATTTAAAAGGCCATAACAGAAAGACATGTTTGGATCAGCTCTGAGCAGGCTGTGTCCTTGATAAAATGAGGACTGTGGAGAGGGAGGTTCAGCTGAGGTCATCGTATTGTTGTTCGCTACCAGGAGTTTTTATCTCCCAACAGATGAGGAATGTTCCACCACCGAGCATCCCTACAAGAAGCCCTACATGGAAACTTCTCCAGCAGACGAGGATCCTTTCTACAGGTCCAGTTACCCCCAGCAGCAGGGACTGAACACTTCATACAGGACTGAATCAGCCCAGCGCCAAGCATGTATGTATGCCAGCTCCGCTCCCCCCACGGACCCCGTACCCAGCTTGGAGGACATCAGCTGTAACACATGGCCCAGCGTGCCATCCTACAGCAGTTGCACAGTGTCTGCCATGCAGCCGATGGACAGGTTACCCTACCAACATTTCTCTGCCCACTTCACCTCGGGGCCGCTGATGCCCCGGCTCAGCAGTGTGGCCAACCATACCTCCCCTCAAATAGGAGATACCCATAGCATGTTTCAGCACCAAACCTCTGTTTCTCACCAACCCATCGTGCGGCAGTGCGGACCTCAAACTGGCATCCAGTCCCCCCCCAGCAGCTTACAGCCCGCAGAGTTCCTGTATTCCCACGGCGTGCCTCGAACCCTTTCTCCCCACCAGTACCACTCGGTCCACGGCGTGGGAATGGTGCCAGAGTGGAGTGAGAACAGCTAACAAGGGGGTCAGGAAAGTGCAAGAGCATTAACCATGGAAAAAAAGCAAACAAGAAAAGGAAAATGGGAAAAGGAAAAGAAAAAAACCAACCCAAAAAACCCTGTTGATAATAAAAAGGAGAGTATTTTGCAAGACTCCTTTAACTGAATGTTCACCAATAGCACTCAAGAGGGACGGACACTGATTGAAGCCACAGATGAAACAGCCATTTCGGTGTGACTTACCCCCTTCCTCTATCCCTTTTTCTTTCGTTTCAAAGGAAAACCCAACAGGTTGGCACATGTCCCCCCCCGCCACCATCCCCACCCAGTTTGTGTTGCTGCCACCGCCAGCCCTGTGCCCCTGTCCCATTCCCTGCCCTCCTGCTCTTTTTGTTCTCCAAGGGACACCAAACTCCTGCTGCCTTTCTCAACACAATCAGAATGCTTGAACGAAAACAACTAGGATGTTACTTTTATTTTGTGGTGTTGATGTTGACAATGTTATATAATAAATAATAATATATGTATTTTTTTCTTTCAATTTTCTCAAAAAAAAAAAAAAAAAGGAAAAAAAGACACCATCCCTTTTTAACCAAGGGGGGATTTTGGAGTGGTGTTTCTTTATTCTTTTTCTGTTTTTTAAAATCAGTATTATTGTTGTTACTTTTCAACAGGAAAAGGTATTATAAACTCACAAATAAGCAAAGCAGGTACCTACCTCGCCCAGGCGTTGTACCACGAGTGGAATCCCTCCCTGTGGGTTGCTGTGTTTCCTTATGAATGCCTCAAACACATCTCTGCAGGAACCAGCCCCGTAAACTCATCTCCTTTCCCACTTGTGTGTAATGCTCTCACTCTTCTTTCCTTCCTTCCCATCTCCTGGTCTCTCCTGGTCCATCAGCCGTCTCTGATAGAGAAACACCCATGGCTTGTCTCCTGCTGGATTTTACCAGCATGTGGAAATCAAGGCTCTGAGCCAGCTTCAATGATGGGAAAGGGGAGGGAGAGGATGCAGGCAGCGAAGGGAAGAAGTTTGCTCATGAAAATGCTGATGATGCTTGTTTGCAATCCTGGACTTTCATTTTATGGTGTGTTCTTTTCCTTCCTCTCCTAAAGAAAACGTGATACTGGTCTGGGTATGTTAAGTGAATTATTCAGTAAATGTGTTTAAAAAGGAGCAGAAAACAGTCATGAAATGCTGGGAGTGGGGAAGGCAAGAAGAGAAGCAACAGCAAATGTGTGTAAGTAAACATGTCTACTGCAGAGTGTTTCAGGTGTAAAAATTCCTGGTGCTATTTATTTATACATGGGAGCTCGAAGAACTCAGTCTGTCACAAAGCAGCTGATTCGAAGGGGTTACAGTTCTGAATGAAATGGAAGTTTGCTTTCTTTTCTTCTCTTTTTTTCTTTTTTCCTCTCCAAGCTGTGCACACTCTATATAATTTACATATATTTTTAATTAAAAGTAATTCTAATGAACAAAAGAGGTATATCCATGTGTCAGCAATTGAGAACGGGGGTGGGAGCATGTGGGAATGCCGCTATGTGCAGGGGAGGGATTGTAGACAGGTATCGAAAGCCGTGTAGTGAAGGAGAAAGCAATGGTCCCCACCTACTGTGCTTTCATACTCTTGTGTGCCAATTTGAATCTAATAAATACCAAATACACTCAACAGCAAGGGACCTGCCCACCTAGTTATAATTTCTTTAGGTTTTGAGGTGGCCTTTTTTAGTTCTTTTTGCTTGATACCCATACATTTGATTTCTTATCTATTTATGAGGTACTGCAGGAGGTGCAGCATCCCAGCTGTCAAGCAGTGATGGGCTGACCTTGGGCCTGCTATGTCTAGGGCTGGGTGTTTGTCCACTACAGAGCTGCCTCGGTGCCCCAGGTCCTTCCCACCCAACTCATCCCCAAGGGATATGCTCTCCTTGGGGTCACTTTCCCATCAAGGCAGACTTAGAAGCAACCAGGTGGGTGCTGGGGTGGCATCAGGAAGCCCTTGTGGAGGCTGAGCTACCTCCCATTCCCATGCAGGGGTTGGTGGGGGATGTCTGGCCCTGGGAAAGTGTAAGGCTGTGTCCCAGCCTCAGCAAAGGAGGGGAGGATGGTGGAGGCTACATGGATTGGAAACAAGATGGGAAAATCATCTCCAGAGAAATAGACTGCATCCAGCCGAAAGCTCTACTTGGTGAGCCATGGCTGCCCGAAGAAGTGGAGAGTGGGAAATGAGCTGAGGAGGTGTCCCCAGCCTGTCCTACCAGCAGCAGCCCATCTGTCTGTGGCAGCAGCACTGCAATGCGTGGCTTTGCACCACCTTCAAAGGTGATGGTCCCGCCTTGCTGTCCCATGGCAGGCAGGACCTGGGAGATGGTGTGTGCTGGGAATATCCCAGTGTTGGCTACAACACAGCTTTCATCACTCAGCTGTCTCTGATTTTACTGTCTTCTGCTTGCAACAACTGGGTTTAATAAATGTTGGGTTAGACAGAGTCAAACATGATGCTGTGCTACCCTAGGAGCTCACTCTGGGTGTTGGCTATGTTTGCCAGCAGAAGGAGACATAGACATCATGCAACCCTTCTGCGGGCATGGCTGGGACCTCAAGTTATACCCCGAGCCGTTTGTCTTCATGGAGCCACCCCCAGGGAATTACTCAAGTGTTGCATTGCTCAGTAAATCACATGCTGTCTCTCTGGAATATGCAGTTGGCCAAGATGAATGAATGAGTAAATTGCATTTGGAGTTAAGGAATAAAAATGACACCGTATTGAGCTGTCAATTGCATTGTACTTCCCAGGCCCTGTTATCCCACATGTAATCATGTAATCATCTTATCACTATATGGTCATTTACATGTAACTAAATGGCCAGTGGTTACTCTGGAAGTAAAGAGGTCTTACCAGAAATGTGTGTCATGCATTTTGAAGGGTATTAAGGAAACTAAATTCACATGTTAAATCACTGCTCAAGCTTTGGAAGGCCTCAAGTTCTCAACTTGTCTGTTTTCCATAATTATCCTTTTCTCTCTTCAGGGAAATGCTGAGGCCCTTTGGTGGAGCTTGTGATGCCCTGGTGGGCTCTGATGGCTGGGTTTCGGCTGCTGAAAAGCCAGGTAGAACCCCATGGCATGTGGAGCCATGATGGCATAAGGAGCAAGGAGGCCATCAGTGGCAGGAGGATGGACCTGTTGCACTAGCAAAATCTGAGATGAAGCCAAAGGTGGATGGGAAGATGCTACATAGCCTTCTCCTCCTCTTCTTGAAGAGTTTGTTACTGGCTACTGTTTCAGTATGGCATTCTTGGTCTTTAGTCTTGATGGAGCCCAGTTGTACCGTATGAGCACAGCCTGCTCTTCCAATTGGATGAGCAGGACTGTGAGGAATCAGATAGGATGTGAAAGAAAATGTGACTTGTTCAAAGGCCCATGGAAACTCCCAGCCTAGGTGTGAACATGCCTGGTCTATGTTGAACCTTGAGAAACAGCTTGTACTTCTTCCTAGCTGGTCCAAAACAATCCTGGGAGTTCTTAAGGAGGGCGTTCTCCCCTTTGGTTGTGATTTCTGTTACAAACAGGCTGAATTTCCTTTATTCAGGAAATTTCCTTTATTTCTAGTCTTACTGACTTATTCCTTATCAGAGTATGATAATGATGATGATAATTAAAAGAAACAAAAAGTAGGGAAAAAATAGGTAGGAATTACTGTCATTGAAAGAACTGGACAAAAGAGGTTGCAAAATCTACCCTATTCAGAGCTAAATTCATCCATAAGAGGTCTCGAAACCTGAGGAAGACCATCCAAGCATGGTAAAAGGAATGGAGCATGGCCACTTCTTGCCTCCAAGTCCCAGGAGCCATAAAACGATCCTCAGCATTGCCTGGTGGCTTCCCATAAACACCACTGAGGGTGTTGAGAACGGGCTGGGCCGGGGTGCTCTGTTGTGGGCCTGGGGAGAGGGATGGTGGAAGCACCCAGTAGAGCTCTACTTGTTGGAGGAGGGAGCTGGGCTCCAAAGGGAATGCTGCAAAGGCAGTGGAGGAGGAGGGCTGGTGTGGCAGGTGAAGGCAACAGTGACCCATCCTCCTCCTCACAGGCAGAAGACCTCTGTACCTCGAACCTCTTCCTTTCGGTGAGGAGCCTTGGAGCAAGCTTGCTGCTCGGGTGGCAAGTAGCCATGAAACATCCTCAGGCAGAAGAAAAACAGGGCATTATGGATGAACTGCAATAAGTAAGTACAGGCTGCGCAGTTCCTTCAGGAGGAGAAGGAGAGAAAGAAACACAAGCTCTGCTAAAAACATCTCTTGAAGAGTGAACGCCAATTCCCAGGCTGTGGTCACAGCATTGTTTTCTCAGCTGCCTTCCTGGGCTAAAATACTCCCTGCATTACCATGGCTCCTACCTGAGGAGGCTGCAGATGCCCTGAGCAGGCTCACAGAGAGCTCTTTGTCCCTATCAGTTCACCTCCACATTTCAAGTTTCAACAGCAAAGATGCTGGGTCTTTTGGGGAGGTGGCTTTTCCCCACTGAGATCAGACCTGCATTGATGATGTTTGTCCTAGAGACAAGGATGCTCAAGAGGGACAAAGTCACCCATCAGTGCTGCTCCAGGCTATGCTCCATCCCTAAAACTGCCTTTGTGCCCTGAGAGCTGAGGGAATAAACCATCCCAAAGCCTCAGGATTCTTGCTCATAAATCCAGCCCGCAGTATCATAGATTTTATGGTGCTGCCAACTCTGGCAATTTTATAATGGGTCTCATGTGATTTGGAAAAGTGTTTTGGGGGTTTTTCTTTAACTTTTTTCCCCCCTCTCTTAAAGTTTCCAATATGAGATTCTCAAGGGATTCTGAGTCCCCCCATTACTCCCCTCACCCTGTTTTTAGTTCTTCATTGGGTTTTAGGCTCTATAATAAAGTTGGAAATTTTACTGGAGAGGAATGTCAGACAGAGAAAAGCAATGATTTGTCTGGAGGTGGGTCTAGAACTTGTCACCAGACAAAAAAAACCCACCTTCTTTTTTGAGTTCTTTCTGGAAAAGTGAACACTTTTGCTGCATTTTTTTGAGTAATAAAATTGTCAATGCTTGAAGTGAATGGAAAATGTTCAGAAAGTGCCTCGAATAAATTCCCACCCTCAAAAAGTAGAAATATTTTGTTTATGTTTAGGAGATTTTGCTCTTTTGAAATTTCAAGGGAAATTTGTCAACCTGCAGCAGCCGTTTCCGAGTGAAATACTGACGTGTTTCACTTGGAACATATCACACCCGGCGGCTCCAATGTCTTCTACTTCCTTTGGCTGGATGAAACAAATCCTACAGCCTCAGCGGATGGCTCTGACTGTGCTTTGCTGTGGGTTTTGAAGGCTTTACCCTGCACATGGGAGTATACTCAAAGAAGTGGTAAATGCTCTATCTCTGGCAGTGTTCAAGGCCAGGCTGGACAGAGCCTTGGGTGACATGGTTTAGTGTGAGGCATCCCTGCCCGTGGAAAGGGGGTTGGGACTGGATGATCTTATGGTCCTTTCCAA